CTCCTTAAAGAAAAACGAAGTGTTAATTTTCACCTCAATCAGTTCGACCAGAAGTATATGACATTGGACATCATTACCACGAAACTTAAAGAATGGAACCAAAAAACAAGTATTATCTATATAATGAGGAAATTATGAGATAATTATTTGAATTGTTTTCTTTGTCTCAAATGAATTAATTTCTGCTCTAATCTTTATGATTTCCTCCCATCTCTGGGCTTCGGGTTTAGTTTGCTCTTCCTTTTCTAGTTGTGCAGCATTAGGGTCTTTATTTGTTTCCGTTTTGTTTTCCTAATGTGTGAGTTCACAGCTATGAATTTCCCTCTGAGAACTGCTTTCATTGTATCCCATAAATTACGATAACTTGTGCTTGAATTTTCATTGAATTGTAGATATTGTTGAATTTCTTCTGTTACCCATTGGTTGCTGAGTAGGATGTCATTTAATTTCCATGTAATTAGGGTTATTTTCTGGTTTCTTTTGTCATTTATTTCCAGTTTCATTGCACTGTGGTCAGATAATGTGCATGGGTTAATTTCTGTTTTCTTACGTATACTTAAGCATGATCTATGGACCGGTATGTGGTTGATTTTAGAAAATGAGCCATGTGCAGCTGAGAAAAATGTGTATTCAGCTGTGTTTGGGTGGAACACTCTATATGTCCACCAAGTCCATTTGTTTCAAGCTCTGGTTCAGTTCTGTTATTTCTTTGCTAAGTTTTTGTCTGGTTGACCTATCTTTTTAGGATAAGGGGATGTTAAGTTCTCCTGTTAAGATTGTGGTGTTGGATACTAGCTTTTTCATGTCCATTAAGATTTTCTTTATATAGTTGGGTGCTCCCAAGCTTGGTGCATACATATTTATGAGTGTTACCTCTTCCTCTTGAATTTTTCCCCTAACCAGTATATAGTGGGCTTCTTTATTTCTCTTGATCATTCTTGGTTTGAAGTTGAGACTGTGTGAGAATAGGATTGCTACCCCTGCTTTTTTCTGAGGTGCTGGGGCATATATTATTGTGTTCCATCCTTTGACTTTGAGCCTATGAATGTCTTTATGAGTTAAATGTGTTTCTTGTATACAACATATTGTTGGATTTTGTTTCCTAATCCACTGTGCCAGTCTATTTCTCTTACTTGGTGAATTGAGTCCATTTACATTGATGGTTAGAATTGAGATGCATTGACTTACGATTGACATGTTATTTACCTGTTCTCGTTTACTTCTTTTTCTCCTGTGTTTAATTGCTTGCCCTATTTAGTTGGTTGCTTTTGATCTCATTTGTGGAGTTCTGATCATTTTGGTCCCTCTCTAGAACATCTTTCAGGAGCCTGTGTAGGATTGGCTTTGTCATCATGAAATTCTTTAGTGGTTCTTTGTCATGGAAGTATTTCACTTCTCTATCAAACTTGAGAATTTTGCAGGGTATAGTAGTCTGGACTGGAATTTGTTTTCATAGAGGACTTGAAGTATTCTGCTCCATGCTCTTGTTGCCTTCATGGATTGTGAAGAGAATTTGACCGTAATTCTGATGGGTTTTCCTTTGAATGTGATCTTCTTTTCCCTAGCGGCTTTCAGTATATTATTCTTGTGCTGAATTTCTGGGATCTTGACTATTATATGTCTCGGTGAGTTTTTAATTCGGTTGAGGTTACTTGGCATTCTGTATGCTTCGGTTACCTGAATATCAGATTATTTCCTCATATTAGGGAAGTTTTCTGCTATTACTTCTGCCCATAGTTTTTTTAATGTCATTTGTATTGATTCCTTTCTCATTGATGCTTATTAGTCTTACATTGTTCATCTTTGCATCATCTTGCAGGTGATGGATTATTCTCTCCTTCATCCTAGTTGTTTTTAAGAGATCCTTTCTTACCTTTTCACTAGCTGTACCAGTGTCTTCAAGATCTGAAACTCTGTCTTCACTTTCACTTAAATGGTTGTGCAAGCTTGTGATTGAGATTTTATTTTTTATTTTATTTTATTTTATTTTATTTTATTTTGCAGAACCAGGGATTGAACTCAGGCCCTTGCACTTGCCAGGGAAGCATTTATTCCACTGAGCCATCTCCCCGGCCCCATGATTGAGATTTTAAATTCCTCTATATCTCTTTGACTCTGCTTCATGCAATCTATTTCTTTCTTTTATTGCTCATTTAAGTAATCCATCATTTTTCTAATCTCCTCTATTTTTTTTAATCAATGTCTTCTTTAGAAGCAGTTATTAATTCTTTTACTGTGGTGTTTTTTTCAGATTGGGTTTCCTCCCTATGTTTCTGTAGTTGATTCTTTACTTCAGATGCTGTGAGTTTTAGAATTCTTTTTTTACTTCAGAAAAGAGTTCCGCTCTGAGTTCCTCTGTAACTTTCTGCTGTTGCTTATTTACTATCGACACTATTAATTCATACATTTGAGCTGAGCTAGTGTACTCCGCACTTGTTCTAGGTGGGCATTGGGTTTCCTCCATATGTTTTTGCATTTGATTCTTTACTGCAGATGTTATTGATTCAGGCCTTTCTTTTTTCATTTCCAATCTGAGTCCCTCTATACCTTTCTGCAGCTCTTTCTTTATTTCAGAATCCGTTGATTCATTGCTTTCAGCTGTGTGATTCCTGATTTGTTCTGTGTTAGTGTCCTCTGCACATGTTATGGGTGGGTTTGGGTTCTGAGATTGCATTTTCCTCCTTCTCATTGGCATTTTGTGTAGCACTGTCTTCTGCCCTTTGTTGTAGATCTTTGCTGTAGTTATAACCTTCACACGTACTGAAGTTCAGGTGGAGCTCTACAGAGTTTGGAGTTATCCAGCTGCGTCTGGCTTAGGTCTGGCTGCTGTGCTCAGCTCCTTCCTGTTGCTGCCCCTGGGATTGAACCTGTTGTTTCCCTCTGGCAAGATGTTCTGCTACTAGACTAGCTGGAGGGTTCTGTCCCTTACACTGTCTGCAGGGACTACAGCTGCAGGGTTTCACCTCAGGCCTGTATGCCAGGCCTGAGCTGAGTCTGGAGGGGACAAGGTGGAGTAGGGGAAAGAGACAGCTCTCCTACATACTCACTGGGCCTGTGCTAGGACTGGTTTTGGAGGTTCCCGGAACGTGACAGAAATTTCTACTCTGTGGGCGGGGTGTGTTGGGGTACTATGGAGTGAGGGAGGTTGGCCCAAGAGAGTGAAAGAAGGTGTCACCCATGCTGCGACTGGGCTGGGACCATTAGGTCCTGCTGGCACGGGGTAGCTGGAAGCTCTCCCACACACTCACCGGGCCTGGGCTAGGACTGGATCTGAGGGTTCCTGGAACACAGCAGGAATTCCTACTCGGCAGGTGGGCTAGGGGAGGTGCTGTGGAGCGGTGGGGGGCTTCTCCAGAGGGTGGAAGAGGGTGTCATCCACACTGCACCTTGGCTGGAACCAGTAGGTCCCGCCAGTTCAGGGTAGCTTGAAGCTGTCCCACACACTCAGCGGGCCTGGGCTATGACTGGGTATTGGAAATTATTTGATAATACATTTTAACTTGGAATATTAACTTGAACACTTTGTGGAATATTTCACAGTTTTAGTGCAAGAAAAAACTTTCCAAGATATTGCGGTGCTTGGCATTTTTACTTCAAGTTTTAAGTTGGCATTACTGAACATGTCATCTCTATTAAAGTGGCAGTGTTGATAAGTACAAAAATTATTACATCTAGTAGTTGGTACTATACATAGGTAAAACAAGATGTTTTATTAAAAGATAGATTTTAAAAAATGAAGAATGTCTGATAATAAGCATTTGTCTGAAAGGGTAAATCAGAAATAGGTGTACTTGCTGATTAATATAACTTTGCTTTGAAAAAGTCAGATGATTCCAAAAAGTTATGATGATTTTAAAAAATATGATTAATATACTGTCTGTTTTAAGCCCAAGCAAACTTTCACTTCAAAGAGGGCAAATTTGACTTTAACATTCTTAAAAGCATAGGACTCTTTTTTAAACCATTATTGAATTGAGTTCAAAAAGTCATTTGTTTCCATAGGATATTTGTGTTTTAGAACATAGGTTAAGAAATAGCAAATCATGAAATCAGTGTTAAAGAATTTATACTACAGGTTGAATATTTTTTTTCAGAAATCTCTCTCTCTCTGTCTGTCTGTCTTTTTTTTTTTTTTTTTTTTTTTTTTTTTTTTTTTTTTTTTTTGCAAATGTTTACTTTAAAGGGAGTATAGCAATAATTGATATGAAATGCTTGGAACCAGAAATGTTTTAGATGTTTTCACATTTTGAAATATTTTCACAGACATGAGATATCCTGAAGAAATTATTTATTTCCTATAGATTGGAAGGTTGTTTTTAGTGCCTCTGTATTTTGATTGGGACCCATCAGAAGTCAGCTATGGAGTTGTCCACTGTGGTACCACATCTGTCTGTACAAAGTTTGGGATTCTGGATTATTCTAGGTTAAGCATCTGTGATGGTCAACCAGTATAATCATTACAAATTTGTAATAACTGCCAATGGTCACCAACAAACATCTATGCCCAGACCTAAAAGTTATTACAGTATTAAGGTCAGATTCCAGAATGATTCTTCTATATGGACAGTAATAACTTCCATAAAATCCAAAGAAACCTTATGGGGTCCTTCCAAAGCTGCATAATTTACCAAATGACTTTTTTTTTTCTTTGCAGAGCCTGTTCATCCCTTAAATCTTTTTTTCAGTTGTTTAGCTTTCGCAATATTTTCTTGATATTTCTGTTTCTTCTTTTGTTCCTTCTCCTGGGCTTTAATCATCTTGGCCAATTTCCAGGACAAGATGGCACTTGCTAAGAACAGTGGACTAAGAGCTAAAATAATCGTTGTAAGGAAATCATATGAGTCCTTTGCAGCCCACTCTACAACATATTCCACACACGCCTTTACATTAAACATCTCTGTAGCAGTCCTAGGAAAACTTACACTTGAGCAATGATCTCTAACTGTCCCAGGAGCCAATCAACCTCAGATACCCCTGGTTGTAAGTTGTCTACTTTGGTTTTAAGGCACACTCTCGAGAAATTTAAATTCCTTTCTTCCCAAGACAGTGCTACAGCACAGAAGCCTCATTTGCCATGCCTCTCAATCCTGGGAAGTTCAATGTGTGCTGCCACAGTCTGAGCAGGCCACCCAAAACAAGGGCCCCTGACATTGCACCCCATGTGCTCTTACTCCCATTCCCCACTTACCACCACCCAAGGATGGTTTAATATACACAAAACCATAAATGTAGTACACCATATCAACAGCACCAAAGCCAAAAATCACATGATCATCTCAATAGATGCAGAAAAAGCTTTTGACAAAGTCCATCATTCATTCATGATAAAAGCACTACAGAAAATTGGAATAGATGGTCTTTGTTTGAATCTGATAAGCCACCTATGACAACCAACAGCCAGCATTATACTTAATGGTCAAAAATTGAAATTCTTCACTTTAAAATCAGGAACAAGACAAAGATGTTCACTGTCACCACTCCTGTTCAGTATACTTCTGGAAACATTAGCCAGAGCAATCATGAAAGTGAAAGAAATAAAAGGAATAATGATTGGAAAGGAAGAAATGAAATTGACATTATTAGCAAATAACATGATACTCTACATTAAGGACCCCCAAAACTTCACTGAGTTGCATATTTAATAACCAAATTCAGTAGAGTAGCAGAATACAAAATTAGCCCTCAAAAATCAATAGCAATTGGAAAGATTCTTGCCCTGACTAACTATATATACTGATACCTGTGAAATAAGCAACTGCACTGCACATGGTAATCTGTAATAGTAATTTCACGCTTGAAGTGCCTGTCATTCTGGTCTTCTGAATACAGGCTACTTGTCATGACATGCCAGGTGCTGCTGTGCTGTCTCTCAGGTAGATGGTTGTTTAAAAAGAAGGGGGTGGTGAATGAAATCAGGAGACAGGAAAAGGAATATTGTGGGACCGTCCTGCTTCAAAGTTGTATATGGTTAGTTTTTTTGACTTACGTGTAAACATAAGAAGCATATAATTCTTTATGCTTATTTTTAAAATATATTCCAATTTTTAAATGTTTTTTTATCATATTCTGTAGGGACTTAAAGTTCAACATATCAATACTTGATGAAAAATACCTGTTCCATGTTATACCTAAGATGTTTGATATTCAGACAGATAGTGAGGTTAAGCTTAACAGCCTAAGTTGTATATTAATAACAATAAGCTTGTCTTCTGGATGGTTAACAACCTAAGTTTGCAGACCAAAATTAGAGAAAAAGGAGGGCTGCAAGGAAAGCCAACATTTTGACCCTAGCCTTCCAAGGTCAATTAAGACTCAGGACGTATGAGAACTTGTATTGTAACTTCATGTAACTCGGTAGTGTCCCAAATTTTCTGATCAAGGAGATTATGGGGCCAAAGAGGAAAGTGATCGATGAGGTAGAGTGTGCCTAAGGAGAGTCACATGGAGAGAAAACATTCTCTCAGGCTTTCACAGAGAGCACATTGGCCAAGCAATGGCCGTGACTCATCCACATGACTGACACTGACAAAGATTCTGCAATCTGAGGTACAGGATCGATCTAGGGTAAATCCTAAGGGGATTTTACTGACCTTATCAGACCCAAAAGCTACAATTCTTGTTGCATAGGTCCTGCTTTACCTTGGTCTTAACCATCCAGAAGAAAAGTATAAAAACAAAATATAAGAAGTAAAGCCATGCTGTTATGTTGAGCTGTAGGGGACTCAGGTAAACAATTTCTGACATTGCCAGTCAAGCAGAAGACCCAATACTATTATGGGGTACTGGACTCTCTTAGAATATTTTGCTGAGTTTACACACCTATAATATTCAAATAATGGAGCTGAACAAAAAAAGGGGATACAGATGAATGCCCGTTTTGTATCTGTGTATTCAAAGTGGTTAGGGTAGATATATAGTTACATTCTCTTAATGAATAGAGGGATTTGTTCTAATGGTGTTTGTAAATAGGATATCATGTCCGCATCTTGTGCAGCAATTAACCACTAGGAGAATGTATGCAATGTGTTAATTATTGAAACTGTCCTACCAATTTGGTTTGAAACTCTCTCATTGCTGTTTGTTTCTTAATAAAACTATGGAAAGAAGTAAATAAAGCCAAAAAACCCCAAAACAAAACAAAAATCAATAGCATTTCTGTACACAAACAACAAATGCTCTGAGAGAAAAATTATAGAAAGCAAGCCTTTTATAATAGCACCCCCAAACTGAAATACTTAGAAATCAATCTCACAAAGGAAGTAAAAGATTTATACAGTGGAAATTATAGTACTGTGGAATAAGATATTGAAGTGAATTTCAGAAAATGGAAAGATATTCCTTGCTACTGGAAAGAAAGAATTAGCATTGTGAAAATGGCAATGCTTCCAAAACTGTTATACAGAATCAAGGCAATCCCTATTAAGACACCATTAATGTACCTCACAGATCTAGAAAAAAATTTCTAAAATTTATCTGGAACTACAAGAGACCTAGAAGAGCAAAAGCAATCCTGGGCAACAGAAGAAAGGCAGGAAGCATCACAATCTCTGAGTTGAAATTATACTGCAAAGCTTCTATGATAAAATCAGCATGGTACTGGCATAAAAACATCCAATGATCAATGGAACAAATTAGAAGATGTAGACACAACTACAAACACACTCAGCCACCTTATCTTTGACAAAAGGGCCAAATATGTTCCCCTTGGAGGAAAGATAGCCTCTTTAATAAATCATACCTGAAATACTGCTTTCCACATGCCAAAGGCTTAATTTAGACCCATGCCTATCACCACATACAAAACTACAGTCAAAATGGATCAAATATTTAAATATTAAAATTGAAACAGTACATCTTCTGGAAGGGAAAGAAGGTAGAAACCTTCAGGACATAGGGTTAGGTGAAGAGTTCATGAACAAAAATCAGACTTCACAGGAAATACTTCAAAGAAGCAACAGTTTGGACCTCATCTTTTTAAAAAAGTGTCTGCCCATCCTAAGAAGAGTCACATGGAGAAAAGAAATTCTCTCAGGCTTTTACATAGAGCAAATTATTCAAGCAATGGCCGTGACTCATCCATATGGCTGACACTGACAAAGGATCTACAAATTGCGGTACAGGGTTTCAGGATAAATCCTGAGGGGATTTGACTGACCTTATTAGATACAGAAGCTACTTTTCTTGTTATATAGGTCTTGCTTTATCTTGGTCTTAACCATCCAGCAGAAAAGTATAAAAACGAAGTATAAAAAGTAAAGCCATAATAATATGCTGAGCTGTAAAAGGCTCAAGTCAACAACTTCTGACATCTCCAGTCTTACAAAAAAACCCACTACTATTTTGGACTACTGGACTATATTGGAATATCTTCCTGAATTCATGCATCTACAATATTTAAATGACAGTGGAATACTCTTCTCTGACAAAACTAAAGAAAAAAAGGGGATACAAATGAGGGAACACTTTGTATCTATATATTCAGAATAGGATAGATATATAGCTGCATTCTCTTAATTACATGAATAGAGAGATTTGTTCTAATAGTGTTTTGTGGGCAGGATATCATGTCTGCATCTTGTACAATGAATAATCACTAAGACAACAATTATCAATGTATTAATTATTGAAACTGTTCTAGTAATCAGATTTGAAACTGTCTCATTGCTATTTGTTTCTCAATAAAATTATTTTTAAAAAATAAAAAGAAACCCAAATGTTTCTGTACATGAAAAGAATTCACCAACAGAGTAGAAAGAAAACCCACGAAGTAGAGACAGTTATAGCAGACTGCTGCTCAGACAAAATACTCCTATCTAGAACATAAAAAGAATTTTGAGAAATCAGCCCTCCAAAACTCAAAGATCAAATCCAAAATGGACATCTGAGATGAATATATACTTCACAAATGAAGAGATACAAATGGCAAATAAATATGTGAAAAAATGTACAATATCATGAACAATCAATAAACAATCTCATTCGAGAGATCCAAATTAAAAGAACACTGAATGGCTGGCCAAATAGATCAGTGGATTAAAGAGTCTGCATGCAGGCACAGAGGCCATAGGTTCAATCCCCTGGCCAGCCGTTCCAGCCCTGCTCCCCCCACCCCAGGCATGCTAAGACAGCAGTTGAGACTGGATGTGTTGGCATGCGCCTGTAATCCCAGCACTTGGGAGGCTGTAAACAGGCAGATCACTACAAGTCCAGTCTAGTAGTGAGACTCTGAACACCCTGTAGACCCTTCCCTAAAATATAGGAAGAAAAAGAACACTTGAGATACCATCTTATACCAGAAAACATAGCAATCAACAAGAAGTCAACCAATAACAAATGCTGGAGACGCTGTGGAAGAAACTCTTATCCACTGTTGGTGGGAGTACAGGCTGGTATAACCATTATGAAAATCAGTATGGAGATTCCAAACAGCAAGGATTCCATGCCAGCCATGCCCTCAGGGTTTGCTGAGCTGGTGATTAAGATTAAGCGTGGTGATGCACACCTAAATGCCAGTGCTTGGCAGGCCAAAAACAGAATCACTATGAGTCCAGTCTACGTAGTGGGACTCTGTAGACCCTGCACTAAATACATAAAACAAAAATGATTGAAAATTATGTTATGTATGTTTTACCACAATTTATAAAAAGAAAAAGAAGTACAATAATTTTTTTTTACAGTTAGAGTTAGAATTGATGTTAGTAGACTTTGCTTATAAGAAATACTAAAGGAAATACTTCAGGATGGAAAAAAAAATACCATCATGTATTAACTTGAGTACATATCCCTGAAGAAAGAGCATGGGTTCACTCAGTGGACAATTTAGAAAAGAAAGGGGAGTTCTCAGAAATCAAAACAATGATTGAAATGAAAATCTCAGTTGAGGGGTTGGTAAATA